CATGCTGGCTGTGGAATTCTGGGAGTTGAAGTCCACACATCTTAAAGTTGCCAAGGTTGAGAAACACTGATCTATACCATCAAATTAAATGCCACATTAGCATGATATGTATCCCAGGATTTTTATTATTTTGTGCAGAATGTACTGAATCCCGCTGTGTCTAACCGAAGGTCACTTTAGCCCAGATTTTGCCAGTCAGCCCTCTCTTGTTGCTAAGTCTTCCCTACCTGGTGGTGCTCTGTCCTTGGCCATGCTGGCTGGAACTGCTACATCCCGAGGGCACCAGACTGGGGAAGAGCCTTCTCCTTTCAAACATGAGTTGTTCTCAATGTTTCCTTGGGATGCTTGGAGTTTAAGCACAGGTCATGCCAGTTATGCGACGTATCCTTTTCCTAAAGGTGGAAGTTCTAGTTTTCCAGATTCTGAACCATAAGCTGATCTAAGTTGGACACCACCTGATAGTAAATCCTCTCAAATAAATCAGGGTCTCTCTTGGTAAACCTACAAACCTTCCTCACCGAGGTAGGCCATGTGCCTGTTTCGGAGAAATGTCAGTTGCCCATCCCTATTGTGCTTGGTCTGCAGTATCATTTGAATCAGAACCACTTACTGTACCTTGGATTTGGTTACATGTAATCCTTGGGTTACGATCACTCGTTCAGCGACTGTTCAAAGTTACGACAGTACTGAGCAAGCGGGACTTAACAACCGGTCCTTGAAGGTGCAGCTGTTGCAGCGTCCCTATGGTAAAGTGATTGTGATTCAGGTGCTTGGCAACTGGCTCACTCTTACGACAGTTGCAGCGTCCCACGGTCACATGGTGACCATTTGCGACCTTCCCTGCTGGCTTCCCACAAGCAAAGTCAATGGGGAACCTGGCAGGTCATGTGTTGGTTTTTTTGTCCGCCTGCCTGCACTCCAGAGTGCCTGCCTGCAACACCTGCCCACCTGTTCGTGCTTTGTAATGCCTGCCTGCAGCAGCCACTCCCCCTCCCATAGTTCTCACCTGCCAACCTGCTTGCCTGGGACTCCTGTCTCTTCCCATGTTGCAGTCATGTGAGGTCCTCACTTAACGACCTGCATGGTCCTGGGATTACAACATGAACCGGGACTGCTGGGATTGCTGTTGCTAAGTGATGAGGTCACATAATGTCACGCTTTATAACTGCATTGCTTAGCGACAGAAATTCTGGTCCCAATTGCTGTCGTAAGCCAAGGGCTACCTGTAGCTTACTGAACCACCGTTCCCTCTCCCAGTTTATGGCTAAGCTCCTTGGTCCTTCTGGAAAGCAAGGGAGGGCAGAGGGTTATATCACCTATGAGTATATGGCGGTAAGGGAGGGGGAGTGAATTGGCAGCACAATGGGAGTGAGGAATTCCAGTTAGCATAGGGTGATCAGATGTCCAGCAAAAGGACAAGCCCTCCTTTTGTCCTCTGTCCCCCAGACAGTCTTAAAATCAAATATTGTCCAGCTTTTTGAGTGTCTTGGGTTTTTTTGGACTGTTTTCACAACAGCACAGGTAGTCCTCACTTAACTGCAATTGGGATTGGGAATTCTATTGCTCCACGATGCGGTGGTTAAGTGAAACATGACCACCCTGGATTTATGTCAGTTCTGCTGTGGTCGTTAAATGAATCAAGGGTCATCAAGCACAATACCACATGGCCGTGATTTGCGACTTACTGCTGGCTTCTACATTGACTTACATGTTGGAAGGCGGCTGCGAAGCTCACAAATGGTCATGTGACTGCAGGACACCGTGGCAGCCATTAAGTTCGCAGACTGGTTGTAAAGCCACTTTTTAACCAAGGACTATCTGTAGTCAAACATTTGGACATTGTGACCTTCTAAATTTCTGCTTCTTTCTTTCCCTCATCCGTCTACAGACTAGTTTTACATTATTTATTTCCTGATTCCAACAACTGGCTTCAATCCAGCCCCTTCAAATCTACGATCACCGTAGATCCCATGCCATACGTTTCTATGGTGAAATCTGAAAAGTGCACTGTTGATTCTATATTATTGCTAGCATGGGTTCTTGAAAATAAAAATGTGTTGGAAAAATATTGTGACTGTAAAACCAGTCTTCCCGATTCTGGAAAAACTAATTTCATATATATGTAGGCCTAAATATATATTTTTGCAGTAGTTTTTGTCGCAGATGGCAAGAAAGCTTAAACAGTTCGTGTGTCCTCCTTTCCAATTGCCTTTGTCTTCCTTTGCCTATTCAGATATCTGTTAACCCCGGGTTAGTGGCTCTATTCTTACAACGTGCCAGACAAGTGTAAGCCAGTGCTCCATAGAGTGTTGTGGAACATCCAGCCACTGTCTTGTGGTATGATGTGAACTGGGCCCTCTTGTGTCCCAGCATGCTCTGTGAGGACAGGTGGGGCCAGGTTTAGTGTCTGTGGGGCCAGGGCAGTACACACACGCTCACCAAGTCGCTCATCCAAATTCACCCGTGGCCTCACTCCTGACTGAGACTTTAAGGTGCCGTACCCTCAGTTCTAAAGAAATCCAGTTCCCCCAAAGCCCGGAAAGAGAACCAACCTGCTAAGGGTTATATTCTTATAGTATTTTGTCTTTTTCTTTCCCCGTCTGGCAGGCACCGAGTTTCCCAGTGAGCAAAGGAAGCGAATCCTAAGCACATTCTTCCTAGATAAATACAGGATCCGCCCCCCCAGCAAAATGAACCGAACATAATTCAGAGGAATACAGTATACGTTTCCTGTTCAAAGTGCCAAGGAAACAGCTACGGGGAGAAGAGTGCTTGGACGCCCCTTCTCAGCCTAGGCCTTCAGCTTAAAGAACTCTTTTCTACTGCACGCAGGAGGATTTAGTGACTGAATCGCTGAACAGAGGCCTGTATAGAGCACATCTTTGGTTCAACATGCAGAGCAAGAGATCTGTGTGCTCAAGCTTAACCAGCCACACCTGCTCCCGTGCTAGCAAGTGGCCAGAGCGATACAGAAAAATTGATGTCAAAGCTACCTGGGAGAGTAACTTGTTCCAGCCTTCCACACAAACCCTTGTGGTTTAGGCAGGCAACTTTCTTGAAGAGTCCTCAGAAACAGTATCAAGGCAATTGTAAATTGTACTTTTATTTATAGAAAATGGAATGCCTCGTAAAAGAAACACATTTTCTTTTAAAGGATGAGCATGTGCGGCAGCACTTACAGAAACACGTTACAAAAAAACGAATGGCTTCACGTACTGAGCTAGGAAGTGAAACAATGAAGGTTAACTTAAAAGTCACAGTCAGTGGTACACTGAGTAGTAGTGTAGAGTTTCTTTGTCCCTCATCTTTGTTGCCATTTGTACAGTTAAAAACAATAAAAACATTCAATAGTGACGGCTAAACCGAGGGTCGCTGGGTCGGTTTCCCCTGTCTTGTCCTGAAAAGCCCTCTCCCTGGCCAGTCTGTTCCTGCGGGCTGCCTGGGATGAATCCTCCTTGTCTGGGGGGAGAGAGAGAGAGAGAGAGAGAGATGGGGGGGCCCAATGAGTAGGGAATGACAGCGGGTCAGGAGCCCTGCTCCCAGTACCACCTATGCTACTCCACTGCTCCTTCCTTTTTAAAAGGAATTACCCTGGATGTAGCCCTGAATTGTTCACACCAGATGGACTTTCAGGGTTTCTGGACTTCCTAGACCAGGGTTTCCCAACCTTGGCAACTTTAAGAAGGGTGGACTTGAACTCCCAGAATTCCCCAGCCAGGATGCATGGACTTCAGCTCCCAGAATTCCCCAGCCAGGATGCGTGGACTTCAGCTCCCAGAATTCCCCAGAATTCCCCAGAATTCCCCAGAATTCCCCAGAATTCCCCAGAATTCCCCAGAATTCCCCAGCAATTCCCCAGCCAGGATGCGTGGACTTCAACTCGCAGACTTCCCCAGCCAGCATGCTGCCTGGGGAATTTTGGGAGTTGAAGTCCACCCATCTTCAAGGTGCCAAAGTTGAGAAACATTGGGCTAGACAGTCTTTCACTTCCCTCCAAGGAAAGGCAAGAAGAAAGTATTTAATTTAAGCCAGGGCCCCGAAGGTTGAACTGGAAGAAAAACATGCATATACAACACAGAAACAGGTCCCACAACAGGTCTCTTAAGAGAGCAGGTAGGTAATGCAACATAACCCCCCCCCCGCCTCCAAACATTGTACTGGGAGAGGAAGGGACAGTTTAGAAAACCATCTGGGTTTGCTATTAAGTCAAATACATAATGAGAAAAGGTTAACCTTACTCTGAATTCAGAAGGCTGAAGGCTTCTTACCCAGACATTCCACCTCGCTGCATTACGTGGCCACGCCTTCCTCTGCCCCCACCTAGAAAGGACAGAGTGAGTCACACTTTGTAATGGGATGTGAGAATGACCTTGGGGGGGGATAAAAGAAGGAGCAGCCCATTAGCAACTGAGTAATGGGCACAGAAAAAAACTTAGAAAGGACCCGCCCTAACTGATCAGGCAGTAAATAGGGACAGCGGGAGATCTGTACTTTCAGACTTGCAAGATTCTGTTCATGTAGCCTACCAATAAAGTGGAATTAGCTCATCTGGTCGCGTTTCCTGTCTGGTCCACCAGGGAAGGCTGACATCAATCTTGCAAGCCTAAATTGCTTTGAAACTATCTGTCATGTTTTCTCCACTCTAGACCCCCACAGAAGAGGGAAAGGAACTCTGGAAGGATAGAAATTCTGAACCTATCAGGCCCTGGGAATGAAGCTCCCTTCTCAGGGACCATCTGGCCATAAATACCACTCCCATAAGCTGTTTCAGCTGCAGCACCAATGTTACTAACTTATTTCCCTCCTTCCCCCCAAATGTAAGCGCCCTTACATCAACCAGAGAAGGAACAGCTACAGGGATCCTGCTGTGCCCCCACAACAGGCTTGGCTGCCCTGGAACTGAAGAGCCGAAAGGGCAGATTATCTGGACATTAGCCAGGAGACACCAAGTGCTATTCGAGCAAGAACACCAACAAGAAAGACTGATCAGCTCAAAACTGAAGAAATGACCATTCATTTTCTACTCTTCCTTTTGTGACTCCTTTCTTTTTAAAACAGCAAGCCTGAAGAAAAATCCCATTTTTCTACTGTTGAACTGATGTGAGTTGCTTGGGAAGACAGTCTGAAGAATGGAGAAAACTTAGGGAATGAATGAATGAATGAATGAATGAATGAATGAATGAATGAATGAATGAATGAATGAATGAATGAATGAATGAATGAATGAATGAATGAATGAATGAATGAATGAATGAATGAATGAATGAATGAATGAATGAATGAATGAATGAATGAATGAATGAATGAATGAATGAATGAATGAATGAATGAATGAATGAATGAATGAATGAATGAATGAATGAATGAATGAATGAATGAATGAATGAATGAATGAATGAATGAATGAATGAATGAATGAATGAATGAATGAATGAATGAATGAACGAACATACACATAGATATTTCTTTCCATGGACTTTCTCTTCCACATGGAATAGGATCTTAGACTGGAATGCTGAACCCTGTCTACATCCTACACCCAACGCCTAGTCAACATGAACCTTCCCAAAAAGAAAACTACAGCTGTGGAGGAAAAAAATTACCTCGCCATCGGTCATGATCACGACCCGCTGACCCCCCATCAACGCTGCCTGGCCAGGAGCGATCTGGGTGGCCTTCAAATTTTCTAACGTGATCCCCCCAGTCACGTCCATCTCTGAAAGGAAAGGAATTTTACACAGATCCATTTGTAGAGTTTTTCTAAAGCACACAGATAACACCGAAAGCTCTCAAGCCCAGGAGGTCCTAAGAACTACCCACAGAAAGCAATTGCGCTAATAAATGTTTAATGAGTTTTTAAAATACTCTTCTAAAAAAAGACACAATGGGCAGTAAATGGCACTGTGGTACATCAACTGTATCTATTTATCATATTGATACCTTAGCAGAATCCCACAGGACTTTTGTATCAGCCAACGATACCGTATCAAAACATTTGTTTTGATGACTCTCCCTTCCTTTTCTCTACTTTTAACACTGCTAAACACTCAAGACGCAACTGTCTTCTCTGCACCATTCCCACTGAGTTTACAATGTAAAAAATGCCAACCATTTTCTAGAAGGCTGTCCATTAAAGAGAGGTTAATTTGGGTTGAAATCTACTGCTGAAGTTCCCATGATTTATTCATCCAACCAGCTATCTGCTATTTAGCAGCCGTTAGTAACAACAGTAAGCCACCTTCTCTAATACAGAGCCTTTCTGGATGCCCTGAGCATGACTTCACTCTTTCCTGCCTCTGGCTGAGTCCAAATCAGCTGAGGACTCCAAACTATGGAACACTACTTACGATGCCTTTGGATTTTTGCACTGCCTCAACATTTAAACAATTTAAGAGGGCAATGACAGGTTCCAATGAGACAAGACAACCCATCATCTGTTTAACAAACAGTGATTTTTTAATCCTCAGATTTGGGTCCTTGTTAGTGGGAAGGAGTAACAAGCATTTGCTGGTGGGGGTGGGGGGGTGTCTAATTCTCTCCTGCCAAGGGCTGCTGCTGAAGAAACAGAGCTCTCAGCCAGTGCTGGAGAAAAGTGAAGGGGGAAGGTTGTAGCCAATGCACAAGCCGCCTTATGCCCCATGTGCAAACTCTTAAGAGACAGAGAGAAAGAAAAAGAGATGTTCCTGCTGTTCAACAGGCCAATGGTTTTCCTGAGGTAGCACAAGCAGTGCTGCAATGACAATGAATTAACTGGCTAATTTAATCCCATTAGAAGACTCTAATTGAAAACCTGCAGTTGCTCTTGAATATATAACTATTAGGAAAATATAATCCCCTCTGTGGGATAGAGTAGGACTGAAGGGATGTTAATTAGATAAGGAGACAGCCTAAATGTAAAAAGGCTTTAATAAAACATTGTTACAGGTAGTCTTTGACCTATGACCATTCGGTCAGTGACCATTCCAACTTACGACAGCACTGAACAAATGGTGGTTATGACTGGTCCTTGGAGTGTTGGTTGTCCCAGCACCCCCGCGGTCACGTGATTGCGATCTGGGTGCTTGGCAACCCGTTTGCACTTACAACCGGTTACCAAGTGCCCCATGATCACGTGATCTCCATTTGCAACCTTCCCTGCCGGTTTCCCCAGAAAGTCAATGGGGAGGCCAGCAGGGAAGATCGCAACTTGCTGGGGTAAGTCTCCCCCATCCACACACCCTCCCCAGCCCCTCTGCACCCACAACGGCCACTCACGCACCTCACCCTCTCTGACACGCACCCCGCTCATCCTTCCTGAACCATGTAGTGTCTCTCAGGCACCACCATGCACCCTCTCTGACTGGTGCCTCACACACCTCACACCCTCGTGAAGCCTCTTGCAGCCCCGCCTTGCTCCTTCCCCCAACCAGCAGCAGCCACTTTCCTGCCTGCAGGCCTGGGACTTGCAACTTCCTGCCGGCCTCCCTGCTGACTGCTGGTTGTGGGAAGCCGGCAGGAAGTTGCCTCGCCTAATGACCACAGGATTCAGTTAACGACAGAACCAGGACTGCAGGGATTGCCGTCCATAAGCAATGAGGGCATGCTTTATGATCACATTGCTTAGCAATGGAAATTCCAGTCCCAAATGCCGTTGTAAGATGAGGACTACCCGTACCCATGCTCTGCATCCTGTAACTGGTTTGTTTGTTTGTCTGTTTATCGTCCCACACAACGTGACTCTGGGCGGCATACAACACAGGATTTCAGGATTCAACACCCTTTGAATGTGCTCACCCACAAGCCCTTATGCACACTCACCGGGACTGTGGAGGTATTCTCCGCCCCTCACTCATGCGCCTGTCTGAACCATAGCTGCCCCAACCATCTCTGGAGTGGCGATCTGGATCCCTGTGGCGTTCCTCTGCATAGTGCTGGAAGAGGGGAAGGAGACAAGAAGAGCAAACACCTGACTGGTATATGGTGGAACACGAGATAAGGTGGAGGCAAAGTTTTCTGAAGCCACCCAGCAGGTATTACAACAAACTCTTGTTCTGCCTGGCTGCTCACTTCTCCTGGTTGCTTGTTCTCCCCACAAACAACTGAACAAAGAAGACAGCACGAGGCCCTGGGAATACGAAGGCCTGCTTTCAAGAGCGGCAGAGCACCACCAGATCTGGCAGAGAAGGCATGACACAGGTCCCATCTGTTAGGGAGCTACACTTGGGGTCCCAGGAGGCAGGCCTGCTCTGCCGTGGCGCCTGCCTTATGGAACATCCTCCTGCCCCCCTCCCCGAAGTGAGATTAGCTCCATCCCTATTAATATTTCAGAAGTCCCTCGAGACCTGGCTATGTCATCAGGCCTGGGGGTCCCAGAGGACCAGGGAGATCTTGAGGTTGCCCCATTACTGTGATTAATATCTGTTTTCTCTTGTGCCTTGTGTTTTTTTACATTTTTTAACAATGACTGTTTTTATACGTTTATTGTTTTATTAATTGTTGTACGCTACCCAGAGTCACTTTTTGTGAGATGGGCAGCCATATACACTTGATAAATAAATAAAGCACTCCAGATTGGCTTTCTAGAAAGTGCTCCAGGGCACCCAGAAGTGTAAACACAGCACCCGTCTGCGACACCTTAATGCTGCTGGGCATTTGTCCTGCTGTGTGGTACCAGGAAGGGGTGTGAGAGCTCTAAGGCGTTGCAGAGGGATGCTTGCATAGCACATGGATTTTAGTGGCCTGGCATGGTTACTGTTCTGCTGGCGTGAGCCAGCCACTGGGGAGAGTAAAAGGGGAAAAGCAGTTCAGTTCTGGCCCTGAAGGACAGCTGTGCTGTCACAAGAGCTAATAACCTGCCCAGGTTGCTAGCCAGGGCTGTTGGGGTGATGTTGGATGTTGAGACAGCAGTCCCATCGGCCCAGCTTGGTACATAGGTATTGGGGATTAGAGCCCTCTGCAATTGCTGGGGGACGTGCTGCCAGTCTGACTAAAGATCGGAGAGAGAGAGAGAGAAGGAGAAGAGAGAAAAATGTCTGTAGAAAACAGAGTGCATGGAGTGGCTGGAGAGAAAAGTTGGAGAGAGAAATTAAGCGTGTGGAGCAGTTGTCGGTTCCTGGTTGGGAGAGGGAGAAGAAAGGTTCAGGGGTGGCTTCCCTGGAAGAAGGGAAGGAAAGACCAGAGGGATGAGAGCTCCACCCAGGACAGGAAGGAGGAACCTGGCTGGCTGCTGGCAGCAGCTTCACCCAAGACCCAAGAAGGGAAGGAGGGCATTGGCTGTTGGCGGCAAGGCCCTGGTCTCTGGGGAAGGACTGGGCAGAAGATCCTGAGAGAGGTTCTTCCCCCAATGGAGAAGCAATCTGGGTTCAGCTGAGAAGCAGAAGGTCAAGCCATGCCGAGCACCTGATGGTAAATTCCAGCCCATGCCTTTCTTTTCACTCTCTTCTCAAGGCCAGAAACGGGGGAGGGAGACAGAGAGATAGAGGGGAATAGTCTTGGGAGGAAACCTGACACCAGGTGAACACTGAGACTGTGTTGTACATACTTCGTTGTAAACAGCAAAAAAGCATAAAAGCCTCTGCTGTCTTGTTTTCTCTGTCAATTGCCACTCTTGCAGAACACCACACCTCCAGTTCAAAAATAACCCCGCCACACTGTGACAGTATGTTCTCTAAGTGCCTTCTGGAGATCAAATCCTAAGTGCCCCACAACTCCCTTGTACACTCTCTGCTGAATATCCAAGGCTATGCTCTAGATATGGTCCGGACATCACACAGAACACAGTCTTCTTTGAAGTGGAGGAACTGAACCTGTAATGCCTCCCTGGACCACACAGTTGCTTCCCCCTGCAATGTTCCATGAGTCCCTCTAGCTCCGCACTGTCTGCCCCAGCCTAAGGCCTCCAAATGGCACAGGACCACAATTCCCAGAATTCGCAGGCTAGTGGGGAAGATTGTTCTCTACTGACTAGCAAAGGTTTTCCAGGGTTTCAGACTGGAGTCTTTTTTTTTAGCCCCTGTTTATTTACTTATTTATTTTACAATTATTTATAGCCTGCCCCAAATCATGATGGGTTCTGAGAGGAGTACAAAATAAAAATAAAAAACACAATATAATGCATGTATCGACAATTAAAATAATGGCATCAAAGGTGCTCATAAATAAACCAAGGGTCAAACAGAGTGGAAACACCTTTGGATTCTTTGCAAAATGCCAGCAGGACTGCAACTCCCTGAGCCTTTGGGGGGTGATACAAAGAGTACACCTGGTCCTCCCTCCACACACCTGGTGAGGAAGTGGAACCTGCAACAGGCCCTCTCTCAATGATCAGACTGGAATAGCCACATTTGATTCTGGCAAGGTGCTGTCTGCTGTAACCCAATGCTGTATAATAAAGGGCTTTAAAGGTGGTAACTAAGACAAAGAATGGGGCCCAGAGGTCTACTGGCAACCAGTGAAGCAACTTTAAGATAGATGTTATTCTAGGCTGTTGGGTCTAACCCATCACAGGTCTAAATATTGCCTTTTAGATCAGTTGTAGCTTCTGGACCTTGAAAGGGAACCCAACGCAGAGTATGTTGCAGCACTCCAACTCTGTGGTGATCAGGCATGAGTTGCCAGGGCCTCTTAGGTCAGGAAGGTTGTAAGAGCTGGGTGAAAATTCCTCACCCCAGTTTCTACCTCTCCTTTCACCAGAAGCAGAGCCTAGGACAATCTCCAAGTCATGAACCAACTCCTCCAGGGGAAGCATAACCTCATCAAGAGTAGCTACTGGAGCTGATGTTACTAGATTGCCCAGATGTCTACAGGTAGCCCTCGAGTTACGACCATTCATTCAGCAACCATTCATTCAGTGACCGTTCGAAGTTACGACGATGCTGGAAAAATGGACTTAAAACTGGTCCCCGAAGTTATGGCTATTGCAGTGCCCCCCCCCCCGGTCATGACTGCAATCTGGGCACTTGGCAACCTGTTTGCACTTACAACCGGTTGCCAAGCACCCCATGACCACATGATCGCCATTTGCAACCTTCCCTGCTGGCTTCCACAAGCAAAGTCAATGGGGAAGCCGGCAAGGGAGGTCACAAGTCGCTCGGGTAAGTCTCCCCCACCTGCTCTGGTCTTTCTTCACTTGCTCACTTGCATGCACTGCACCCTCCTTCCCTCACTTGTACACACCAGTGCCCTCCTTTGCTTGCTTGCATGCACGGCATCCTCCTTCCCTTGCTCACACGCACGGTGCCCTCCTACTCTCCTTTTCTCGCTCACACGCACTTGCTTGCACATACCAATGCCCTCCTTCCCCTTTTACTTGCACGCACCATGCCTGCAGCTTTGCAGGAGGAAGGAGAAAACCTTACAATGGCCAGCAGCTTCCAACGTAAGCTGCACAGCACACAATGGAAGTGCCCCTGGAGAGTCCTCGAGCGAGTGAAGGTGGTCGCTGGTGTGTGCGAGCAAAGGGGGAAGAAGGGTGAGGTGTGCACGAGGGAAGGAGGGCGCAGTGTGTGCAACGAGGACGAAAGAGGGTGCTGGTACATGCGAGTGAAGGAGATTGTAGTGCCTGTGAGTGAACGATCAAAGGGGGAAGGAAGGCCAAGAAGCCCGAGCTGCAGCATGGCAAGCAGCCTGAGCTGCAAGGTTTTGGGGCTCTTGCTGCCCCACAAGGCAAGGTGTAGGGCAGCCAAAAGGACAGAGAAGGGGGGGCGGAGATTGGCAGGTGGGGTAAGTTGGAGGCAGTCCCTTACCTTACTGAGGCTCAAGGCTGGGAAAGACCAAGCTGGAAAGTCTTGGATTGGGGTGGGTAGTTGGGTAATGACCGGTGGAATTCGCTTAACAACGGCAATGGGTTTTTTTTAATGTGTAATTGTTTTTATGTATTTATTTTTTAAATTGTTGTACGCTGCCCAGAGTCACCTCGTGTGAGATGGGCGGCTATATAAATATATATGATTGATTGATTGATAAATAAATAAATGGGGAGTGCCAGGATTACCATCGCTAAGCGATGCAATCATGTAACATCTTGTTTTACGACCACATCGCTTAGCAATGGAAATTCTGGTTCCAATTGTGGTCATAAATCGAGGACTACCTGTATTGACCACAAGCAACTCCATCTTGGTATGATTTCATCCAGACTTGTTTTGCCCCATCCAGGTTCTCAGCCCCCAGGCATTAGTTCAGGACTTCTACAGCATCTATAGCTCGGTGATGTATAATTGGGTGTCATCAGCATTATGGATGACACCTCACCCTGAATTGTCAAGTGACCTCCCCCAGAGGTTCCATGGAGATATTAAATAACACGAGTCCCATGCCACAATGAAATTCCCAGTGACTCAAGCACTACTTCCCATGACGGCCAAGTGGAACTATCCTCTGGATGGGAGCAAAGCCACCATAAAATGGTCCCGTCCCCCACCCAAATTTCCATCCTCTGCAGAGTCCACAAGGCTACAGTGCTTGATGGTACTGAATGCTCTGATGGAAACCATCAAGTACAGCAATCAGTGTCATTTCTAGCCTGTAACCAGACTGAAGGGATGGGAATGAACCTGGAACTTTCTGCCTCCAAGCAGATGCATATTCTTTAGCACTAAGCAACACCTAAGGCCACTTCTAAAGAAAGGAAACCAGAAGGGGAAAAATTATGTGTTTTTGCAGTGTGGTGGGTAATTGTTTGTGTTTCCATTTCCTCCCCTCTCATCTCATATACCTTTTCTCTGCTGCAGGGAAAATACTTGACAAGCATTATTTATTAGGAAATTAAAAGCTAGGCCAGCATTCAATTCCTATCAACCTCAGCAGCATACACCCCCTTCGGCACAAGCCTTTTGAACAGAGGTGCTTACTCAACCTTCTGCTCTATTACTTTCCTTTCATAGCTCTTTCAGTTTCTCCATCTTAATCCTCCCATTAGCCAAGCTTTTACATTCAAACATTATTTCAGTCCTCCCTGCTGCCAAAAAATGCAAAAATGTCTGGAAGCCGAGACTCTAGGCACAGTACTTATTCTGAATGCAAGATGCTGAGAGGGGAGGGTTGTGGAAGAACACGTTTGTATTAATTTCAGAGCGACCTATTTATGATCAGTTTTTTCTATGACATGGTAACTTAGGTTTCTTTACAAAACAGGCCACCCTTTCTAAGACATTGTCTTATAGAACACAAACATCTTGAAGTGTTTTCATCCTATCAAATTCACAACGAACACAACTCACCTGTCTGTCTCTGTCTCCCATCATCCCTCGTGACCCTTCTCTCCTGGAAAAAAATATAGTCAAGTCAAATTTTTGCCCTGGGGCTGATCCTGATACACAGAAGTCATACTGTACTACTTACTGAAGACTGGCTCTCACAGAGATTCTATTTAAAATATTCAGAAGCAGAGTGTCTTTCAGGTGAGGTTCAGACAATCTTTTCACCACAAGGGATTCCTATTCAGCAAAGGGGTTCCCTGAGCTGAGAAGCTCTACTTATACACACCAGTATCTGTGTGGTCTGCTAGGCCCTGGAATCAGAGCCTTTTTCTCTCTCCTAGACCTCAGCAACTGAGGAAAGAATTTCTTCTGCTAGATGAAGTGGACAGAAATAGCCAAAGGGGCTGATGCCAAACAGAACGCCCACAATAAAGGGGTTAATACATTGCACCTCCTCAGGAAAAAACATTTCTTCAACTTTTTGCTAGAATCAGATTCAATGCTGAAACGGACCTGTGCGGTTAATTTAAGAACTTTTTCTTAAATGATGTTTGCTTATGTTGATACAAAAGTTATGTTGGGATGTGAATAAGAGGTTAACTTGCCACTTCCTAAGAAAAAGCAGTAGGAAAGTTAGCACGTTTAAGGAGAAAGAAAGGGGGTTATGAGAAGAGACAGGCAGTTAGACAGAATAAAGGCCAGGGGGCGGGGAAGAAAGAAAAGGAGAAAACTAATATAGCTGAACCAAAAAAACCAAACCAAAAGGCTTTCTTTGTGACAAACTAAACAGTCATTTTGTAATGAAGCAAAATAGAGGCAGAATATAATGCTTTCCTCCTACCTATCAAGAAAAGAACAGATAAGAAAGGTGGTAATATTCATTTAAGATTACATCTCAATTTGTGAACTCTAACTTGGTGGCAGTGGGATGTTAAAGGACATTCACCTCAATTTAAAGAAACTGAATAATCCACTTTTGTGCAAACACACCTGAAGCCTGCCACAATTTAGAGTAAAAAACCTCCCCAATGGGAACCCAAAACGTTTTATTCACTGGCTAACCTGTCCAGAGGATGATCCTGGTACCGTCCACGATCCCTGTGATCAAAGTCATGGAATCGATCCTGACGGCTGAAATCTGAGCGATGACGATCATCCATTGCCATCCGCTTGGCTTCTGGCCAGTAGGGCTCATCCCTCCTGCAAGCAAAATGAGATTAAGAGACCAGGATAGAAAAGTTTCCCCCGATCGCCTAAGTTGCTGCTGCATCCAATATAAGGCGATGAGATCTGACCAAACGAACAGTGGCAAACGTGACTTTTACCTCCCGTCCATGTCATACGGCCTCCTCAGGGCCACGCGCCTCTCCTGGTCGTAGCGCAGCTGCTCGTGTTGCCGCCGCAGCTCCTCTCTCTCCCGCTGAATACGTTCCTGCTCTCGCCTCCGCTCATGCTCAATGTACATCCTCTCTCTCTCCAGCCGCTCCCGCTCCATCCGCTCCCGCTCCAGGCGCGCCCGTTCGAACTCCAGCTTCTCTCGGGTGATCTCCAGCCTCTCCCTTTCCTCTTGCTCCCAGATGGCTTGCAAGCGCTGCTGCCTTTCTCGACGATCACGGGTACTGAAAGGCAAAGAAAGATGCCTGGCTCTGACCGGCAGACTGTTTTTGCCTCCCAGCTCCTGCTGGCCCACTGCCTGCTGCAGGAATTCCCCCTCGACGAGGAAGCGAGCTCCGTCCCCATTTGGCCAGCTCGCTTAGATGCCAAACTGGCTGGGGAGAAAGAAACGTCACCCCCACACTGGCAAGGACAGGAACCCAGGAGAGCAACAAGGGAGTCACAGGTTCTGCCCCGCCTTCGTCAGTCTGCTCTCTTACAATGGTTTGTATTAACCTGCTTTTTCTTCAGTAGAATAAAAGGCCGATCTTTTAATATGCAACGGGCCTCTTATATCAAAAGATCAGCCTTCCTCAAACTGGGGTTCTCCCAATGGACTGGACTACTATGGTCATCCCCAATCAGCACAATGGCTGGATATGATAGGAATTGTAACCCAGAATGGAGAAGGCTGTGAGTAAATGCGAAACAGGTAAAATAGAAAGGCAAAGAACATGAAAACAACCACAGACGAGCGTTTTCCTCTAGCCTGTGGGTCTCACCGATGTTGTTCTTCATTAAGTCGCCTGTCTTTGACTTTGTTGAATGGTGCGGCCCCTTGTCGCTCTCGGCTCTTTTCTCTGCTCTCTGACTTGCGATCCTGACTCTTCACGCTCTGCAGTTCAAGATACAGCACAAGGTTGGAACATCTAATTCATTAAAGGAAGGACCACATTGGAAATGGAAGAAAGATAAGCAAACTGCCATTTCAATCTTCGTGGCTCTAGAAACAGTCCTGCCTCTCTGCCACACACAGTTCAGAAGGCGAGACATTTGGCATGGAATTCCGATTTCAAACTGTCTTCGAAAGGCAGAACTTCAGCCTCTATGTTTTTCTTTCTCCTGATCCCACAGCAGCAGCATCAGAGATTTTTAATGAAATGGAAATCAATTATAAAATATCAGCAAATAGTACTGCAGGTTTGTGCATCTAACATTTGGATCAGGACTCCAGAATCAGGAAACATGTACATAACCTGCTCTAAACTACAATCAATCACACTCCTAAAAACGACTGTTTTCAGGCTATCCCTTATGGGCATCAAAATCTAACACACCTAAAAGGTGTTACAAAACCTATATGCTGCGTAGATTCACATGTAATCCTCCCTCCTAACCTCTTTTTCAATTCCAACTATGCAATACTGAAATTACTTTCATGAAAAATATGCAAGGCTACAAAGTTTATTTGCACATAATTCTTTTCTGCCAAATTAGGTGTACACAAAGGAAAAGCAATGGGCTACTCTCTGCCCCACAGGAAAATGCATGATAGAAACCAATTTGAAAGGTGGAAGCAGCACAGTCTAGTTGCAAATAGTCAGACAAAAATACTGTTTCCTCAAAGGTTTATACACTGTGCCATATGTTGTGCTGCTTTTGCTTAAAAGTTCAAATCAGAGTGGTTTTAGTTGTCGTCTTTTGACAGGGATGTTCTGTATTAGTTATACAATCCTAAGAGTTAGGGTTTTAAAGTTTAAAATCACACTTTCCATTAAAAAAATTTAAGTACAGGCTTTTTGGAAAAGATCTAAGAAACATCAAAGTTCCAACAGTATCTAAACTTCACCAGGTGACCAGCCTATCATCCACAGCTAATAAAAGCAGAACAGAAACTGGGGTATGTTGAAGACTACGAAGTTATTTCACATACTGGTATTTTTCAGGATGAAAAATCATCTTTCTTTTTAAGTAAGCTGATTTAAATTTAACATAAAACATTATCCTTCATCAAGAACACAAAGAAGTCTTCAATCTTTGGTAGTCAGTACTATGTGGTAAATGAAATCATATTACTCAATATTTTTTCACAAATGTATACTATGACATAATTTTGCTTTGCTGCCATAAAGATTTTGAGCCCACCTAAAGACAACAGTCAGAATCAGCCTCAATAAAGAATCTTAAAGTTTCACACTGATTCTGCCATTTACAACATACAGGGTGGAGAGATTTTTATTGCTTAGTATCACCAAGTTTCCAAAGCACAGAAAGGTGTCAATGTAGATCATCTTAATCCAGTTATCCAAAGATTTTTATTTCATTACCTAAGATTTTTATAACCATGGCCAATGCGCATCTCCAAAATGAAGATTAGGGAAAAAAGGCTTGACGTTTCTTTCCAGTTATTTGTATAACAAATGAAGGTGAAACAATGACACCAAACTTCTCAAGGATAAAACAGTAAAACTCTTTCCCCTGCTTTCATAGTCAAGTAAACAGCAAACGTAAGAAGGAAAGTTCCACTTACTCTCTCTTTTGATCTAGACGTGGTCTTCACACTAATAACTGGTTCACCCTTGGATTTATCCATTATCACAGTTCTTTCTGTTCCTTTGCTCCCTACATGAAAGCAAAGAGACTGGATGATAATCCCAGCAGAAGCCACCTATGAATACTTCCCTTTTCTCCAGCAATAAATTACCTGATTTTGGAGTCTTTGATGGATCAGCAGATCCAGATTTTTGCTCCTCTTTCCCCTTTTCATCCTTTTCATCTGTTTTGTTACCATCTTCTTTTGAATCAGTCTTTTCATTCTTTTTCACACTGGCACCCCTGAAAAACAGTTAAGTTCAGAATGTGTAGAGAGTAAAGAAGATGACCTAGACAGAGACATGGAAGATCCGTTGCCAGGGCAACAGGGGGTAAAATTTATTTTAAGACAAATAATATTCGGAAGCGGCTCAGGCAGATACCTCCCTAATTCACAGAAGTATAAGAAGAGGGAGAATGCACAGCACAATCCGACTTGCAAGATTCTGTTATTAGAGCCAATCTCGGTAAAAGTAGTTTTAGCCTTCCTGTGGTGTTGGTTTCCTGGTCTGGCCTACCTAGTGAGGCTCACAGAACGGGAAGAAAGGCAGCAAGACAAGAAAACGTTTCCTTTTCTAGACACTAACAGAGTTACTGAAATGTTGCGATGTATTTGTGAAAATGGTTTTTGAAGAGAATGGGGGAGAGGAGTAAACTGTCCCGGCTGAACAGATCAAATAAACTGATTGGGCTGAAAGGCCTCTAAAAGACAAAGCAGACTGAAGAACATTACCTATCGCCAGATGACATTTCAGTCTTCACCTCGCTGTCCTTTTTATCCAGAAGCTTCTTGGTGGCAGGTTCATTCTTTGCCTGAAAGTATATTTGATCGTTAGAAAACGAAGCAACAGGTTACTTCTTTCACCAGTGTGGCGGTGTGAGCAAGGAGAGAGGCACCACTTACTCTTTCAACTGATATTATTTTGCCGTGCAATTCCGTTTTGTGGCAATGGGCAATGCATTTCGTAGTTTCTTCAGCTGTTGACATTGTCACAAAACCGTAGCATCGAGCGCCCGGGCTACGAGCATTGGTCACCACTTTGGCACCAACCACCTTGAGAAGAGAAAGCACATGTGTTTTTCAGATTGCCAGCTGAAGATCCATCGAACCCAGCAGCCTCCTAAGACCAGCTAGCCCTGCTGGTTAAAAGGAACAGAGGCAATCACCTCACCTTGCCCCCCTCCCCTGCTGTATTTTAGAAACTGTGGACAGTGTGCCTTTATTCACACTGTGCTGCCATCAACAGCCTCGGCTACTGGTGAATCTGTCTAACCCTCTTTTGAAAGACAGCACTTGAGGGCTTATTACTACACATTCAGGGACCGGGGCTGGGGGAAGATGACCAGTTATTTCCATGCAGCAAAAGAAAAGAAGAAAACAACTCCCTTGCCCAGATTTACTCCCTAAAACTCTGTTCAAAAGTTGAGGAAAAAAAAGTTCTACATTTAATTTTCTACATGGAAGGACTCTGATTTAAAAAGCTTGGAGAGGGGGAATGTGGGGGGGGGGGGGTATCCTGATAGAGGATATGGGCTAGCTGAACAAGAGCTACACCAAAGCCCTCGTGTTACAAAGGAGATAAGAAGAACTTGTAACAAAACAGATCATACTTGGACTTAAGAAATAAATGAAAACAGGCTCACTTTCCCGTATTTGCTAAAGAGATTCTTCAGGTCAGTTGCTCGGGTGCTGGAAGCAAGGCCGCTGACCCAGAAGTTCCGCCCAGTGCTAGTACTGCTGTGACCTAGTTGGAAACATAAAACTAAATCATGCGACAAGGTACAATGTAGTAAGTCCAGCCACTATCACCGTTGCTACCCCTGGAAAAGAACACAACTCCAGAAAAATGTGTATCTTCCAGTAAATGCCTGGAAACGCGGCAATAGTTTTACTTGAGGCCCAGTGTCTTAATTTCGACTGCAGCCAGCATCCACTGGCAAATGCCAACCGAGGAGACGTTGGCAAAAGATGCCTGAAATTGCTGCCACTCATGTTGGGAATATCAACATTCATCAATCTTTGCCATCTGCAGGACAATATACAGCATAATCAAGTTCCATCATGCTAATGCCCTTATTTATTTTTTGACTGACGGAAATCCTGCAGAATTTCATCTCAACTCATGTCATGAAGTGTCAGCTGAAGTCATGTGTAAACCCATTAAAGATTTAAATATGCGTCTCCTCAACAATGACTACGCACCAGGCGGGTAGTATGGCAAGTTTTTACGTGAACAAATACAAATACCTTTTTCCTCTTTTGAAGACTGTTTGGGGTCTTTGGACTCCTCAGAACTAAGAACAAAAAAAGAAAAAAAAAAGGAAAACAAAAAGGAGTCAGGAAATGGGTGGAGGAAAAGTTATTATATATAACAATAATAATGTATTTTAAAAATTCATTAGAAGGCAATACCTACCCGATTTAAATGTAAATAATATAAATGAATCAATGAATTAAAAAAGCACTTATAGTACTCACAAGTATTGGGTTAATCTTAAAAGCAAATTAACGTTATAAAGATTAAAAAAAAAGCGAAGGTTGCAAAATCATTTTTAATGTACAAGAAAGGGGAAAAACAAAACCTAAAAGATTTTTTTTAGAGTACCATAGCAATTTCAGTAGGCTTGCAGGCCAAACTGAAGAAACATCCTGACCTAATCTCTTACAGACTGACTGACTGACTGTCTGTCTGTCTATCTATCCATCCAAAAAAAAAAAAAAAAAGGAAAAAAGACAGCATTTCGTCTAAAATGGAGAAATGTAAGGTACCAGCCCATATTACACACAGATTTATAAAACTGTGAAGCACTAGCATGACTAACTAACCCATTACTTACACAACTGAAAAAGAGGGAAAGTTAACGTTCTTAGGAATAGGAGGAGAAATAAACAGATGCAACAATAAATCTTTTAAAACCTCCCCCATCCCACCCCCTCCCGATTCAATGAGGAGGAAGAGGGAGTATGATATGTTCCACTTAGTGATAGATATCCAGTTGTTTTCAACTTTATCTCCCTTTAAGTACTGCAAGTAAGTAGTTGCAGTCCTGCACTTCTGTAGTAGTCATATATTTATGCTAACGTACCTGTTCAAGCATCGCAACATAACCAAAAATTGTACCGCACCATCCTTATGATGCTCTGACTGTGTGGCTGGTTTTCCTAGAGAACCTGCAAGGGCCACGTGAAACTTTTTTCTTATTTTATTGCACTCTGAAGTGTGTATATGTGCACATGTTTCTCTGCAGGAATCCCTCCTTTACTGTGTACATTGTCTGACCAGAATTCCTGATTTCTGGAGTTCTGCTGGCATTCTGTGGATCGGATGCTTCTAGTCTTGATCTCATGCTCATGTACATGGACTAAAAAAAATGCCACCGAGGAAAGCAAGAGCCCATGGAAAGCTCCAAATTATTGCATCTATATAGTCTTCCTCCTGTTATGGAAAGTGTTAACCTCTCCATCTACACAATTTTTAGATAATGGCTTACCTGTCAGTTATACTAATGCTTACAGGGTTATAAATCTGTGTATCGTATTGGCTGGTACCTTACTCTGCTCTTTTGATTGATACTGGCATAGCGGATCAGGGATTGGTATTTTCCTTTTGTTGCTAAAACGGAGAAAAACAAACCTCGTGTTCTGATCACCACCCTCTTGGGCAGAGGACTCTCTAGTGGCAGAGGACTCCTCCTCACAATTAGCCTTCACTTCCATCTTCTCGGCCTCTGGACTAACCACTTGGGGACCTGTGTCCGACTCCGCGGTTTCCTCACTACAGGCTTCCAGAGTTTGGGCTCCTCTGCTACTCTCACCACCACCACCTCCACCTCCACTCCTGCTCTCTACCGCTAAAGAGTCCGAGTCCGGCTTGGCTTCCTCAACTGTCTGCTCGCTCGGCTCCCCTTTTGCTACCACTAAGAGCTTTGCTTCGTCCTCCTTGTTCTTGGCC